AATCTTGATCGTCAAACTTAACTGACTAACAGAATTGGAAAAGCAGCTAGGAGTTTCCGGCTATTACAGAAACACGTATGGAATAACAGCAAGCTATCAGCTAAAGCGAAGATGTGAATTCATGAGATGTGTATGCTGTCATCCCTGCTTAGTGGTTCAGAAACATGGACTACATATGCTAGGCATATGAAGAGACTGAACAACTTCCACATGAGATGTCTGTGTAAGATTCTGAAAATAAAGTGGGAAGACAAAATACCAAACACAGAGGTACCGGAGTATGCAGGACTGACACACTTAGAAAGCACTATCAAGAATATTTTGTATAGTGAGATTCGAGATAGCTCTAGAAAGTGGGGTCATCCTGTATGGCGGTACCACAATGTGTGTAAAAATGATACAAAGTCATTCAAAATCAACGTAGAAAGCTGAGAGAGGTATGCAGAATCCTGTCCAATCTGGAGGGAACATATGGCACTGGGTGCAGCTCAACATGAAGTGGCTTTCATGGAAGCAAAGCAAGGAAGAAGAAAGTAGTATGCTGTAAATTTGGACTTCAACTCAGACAACATATGGATCTGTGAAACGAGTAACTGTGTTACTCTCAAATTGGGCTTGTCAGCCACAAATGGAGTCATCAGGCATCTGACTAGACCTCTTACATGTACGCCATGATCCATGGGCTTGAAGGTTGGCGACTAAAATATATATCTTGAAAGAGTGGAGTGCCAAGAAACTACCATTTAAGTGATGGAGAATGTGATTTGCTTGTAGCAAACTCACTGGATAGATAAGATATTTCTTGAAATATTGTTAAGATACAAATTAGAAATTTACAAATATTCCACTTTATTTTCCGGAGAAAAATTATATTACAGGATACCAAATAACGGATTTAGAGTAAATTAGCCTTAGAGTAACCTGTCAAAAAAACACTCTCTCTGAACCAACTCAGAAAATACACCTTCTGTCAATGTTGAAATAGTGAACAGAATAAAGAAGACCTCTTCAGTGTTATTTCTTCCCATTGCTTAAATCTTGAAGCAGAGCACTTTGAACCCCAAATGGATGAGGTGTAGAAAGAAAAACAGCTGGAAATATACATGAAATATGAGAAGCCAGAGACTGTTGCTTACAAAAAATATGTAAATGTACTTTATGAGAGTAAGAAAAGTTAGCTCAAAGAAATAAATAATTTCCTCTATCTTTCCTAGTACAAATAAATAACACTGAGTGATTTATAAAACTTCAAGAAAACTCTTACTAAGTGAGAAGTCAGCACTGCCAAAAGGGTGCGTCACAGTTGCTACCAATCTGCACAGACCCTCCCATCTTAGACAGAATGTAAGCAAGCACGTAAGCTGGATACAAACAATTGATGGAACTGAAAAGGAGGCACCGGGGCCGGTGTGGGACACTTACCGAAGGTAAGCTCCTCATTTCTCATGCGGAGCAGGCAGTAGCTCCTCCCCAAGGTGAGGCAAGGCAGGGCTGAGGTTAGGGGCTGGCACGGGATCTGCTGGCTCCAGGGAACTGCTCCGTGGGCTCCGGAGAACTGCTCCACTCCCCAGCCCTGACGCCATTTGCCTCTTTGCTCCCTGAGGTGATGCGGGGGTGTGGAGCAGTTCCCCGGAGCCAGCGGACCCCGCAACAGCCCCAACCCTGCCTCACCTCACCTTGGGGAGGAGCTGCTGCCTGCCCTGCATGAGGAGTGAGGAGCTTGCCTTCAGTAAGTGTCCCATGCCGGCCCCAGTGCCTCCGCCGCACCCCATGCCCAGGTCTTCTCTGGGAAGCCGCAGCCCAGCTCCTCTCTGGGCAGGTGCGCGGCATTAAAAAGTTACTGCACGACAAGATTTTTAATTGTGCGCGGCTGCGCATGCACACAGCTTAGAGGGAACCTTGCTCTCAGGAACACCTTAGCCTTTCAAGCCAAGACTTCTTGTATGTTGCAGAACTCTGTGGGTGTGGACAGACATAACACTTGAACTGTTTCAAGAATGCCACTGATAGGGAACCAGCTCACAACTGTCCCTGGACAGAAATGCCCACACATACCCGGCTAGGGGTTCTAAGTAAAACCTTCATCATTCAGGGATTGCATTGCTGCCAAAATGCCACCAGGGGGTGGAACAGTAAACAGACCATCAAGCCCTCCAAGGGTGGAATCAGCAGGGCAGGGCTGGCTGCAAGAATGCAGCACAGAGCATGAGGAACAATGTACTATCGATGAGTTAATTCACTTCACATTAAGCATGGAACTGACAACCATTCTGTTCTATTAAATGCCCATTGTGAAATGGCTGTTTCCCCTCACCATCATCCCCCAGAAATTGACAGGTGTTTACTGTTTTATTGTGACAAGCACAACCACCCACTCACCACACAATGGGGGCTACAAAGCACCCCTCCCCTCGCCAAACCTGGCTACCCCCTCACCCCGAACTGATACAGAAGCTTTCTGCTTCCCCATGGCTGTGGGCTGTGATTTTTGGAAGCAATAGATCTTTGGGCAGTAGAGTCCTGGTTGCATCCTGGAGCAGCCCAGGGGGAGAAGCAGTGCAGTGTGGGATGCCTTGAAGAGAGACCAAACCCTAGGCACAGAATACTCTGTTTGCATATAACCTTCTTGAACAGGTTCAATGATCAGCTCAAAATAGTACTTGATTTTTCCAGCGTGCTTTTGAAAGGTTCCAAGAAGTTTAAACCAGAAAGTGACCTGCACATCTAGGTTCTTGGGGCTCCTATAGATGTGCAGGGAGCCAGCTCCAACATGCTGAAAATCCAGTGCGTTGGAACAGACTCAATTAATTGAGTCTGCTGGAGCACTGAAATTACCACGTTCCAGCAGCGTCACGTGTATCAGCATCTCTGTGCTGAAAAATGGTGGCGGGGTGCTTTGAACTAAGGCTCATTTGATGAGTTTTAGTTCAAAGTGCCCCACCACCATTTTTCAGCGTGGGGGACACTGATATACATGACAATCGGGCGTTTTTAATTAGCGTGCCTCGCTAATTAAAGCGTCACCTCCAGGAGCACGGGTAAAAATGCCCTTGGGGTTTAAAATGTATTTATAACATTCTATGTGTTATGTCTGTTAGATCAATGCTGTCTGTTAGTACCCTGTTAGATCAATGGTTTCTCTAATGTACCACTGGCTGCTCCTTACAGGAGATGACTGCCTTCACAATAGAGCCATTAGCTATTCAAGCAATTTTGTGCACAACTACTTATTGTTGTGCACAAAAGGGGGACAGTGTATCTGTCCCCCTTTTCCACTAGCTGGTGACAGGATTATGCTATGGTAGGAAAGGACAGAAAAGTGTGAAACATGACTAAGCACAAAGCACAAATCTTCACTATGTTCAAGGGTATGGACATACATATACATACCATGATAAAATTTACATAATTTTATATACCAAAGTAAATTAAACCAGAATGCTATCTGGTAGTCGATTCACTCAAAAGTCAGATATTAGAGTACCTCACCTTATAGGTGATGGGGGAAACAGGTGTTTGTGTCTAGTCAATGGCTCCCCCAGCATGAACAGAAACAGATGAAACAAAGTGCGGTACAGGCAGAAGTGACAATTTTCACCTGATCTGGCCACAGAAAGCAGTCTACAGCTGTGACCAAACACAAGTGCATGGCTGCAGACAGCTTAAAAAATGGATGTTTGGGTGAAAATCTGAACCCCTCATTGCATGAGGTATCAGATAAAGACATTCCAAAACGTAGCATCTTTTGTAACTTGTGTCTGCGGAGCTCCCAGCTTGTCACTGTTTGTCACTGTTTTCAAAATGGGAGAGGGAAAAAGGGAGAGGAGGGAATTCAGTCTGGGGTGTTTTCAGCCCCCCTGGATGGTGGGGCAGTTGTACTGGAGTCCCCCACTGAGGTAGGGGGGCTCCAATTCACTCAAGCCCCCCCCTTCTGAAAACAAGGAGCACTGGCAGAGAGCTGTGGCTGTTGCTATGGGAACCTGGCTGCAGGCTCCCAGCCCACAGCTAGATTCCCCTCCCCCTGGAGCCAACAGTGAACTTCTGTTTGGTCTGGGGTAATGCTGTAACTCAGGACACTTCATAGGAATTGTTCTGAGTAACAGTTGGGAGCTGCACTTCTGTCTGCAACCCTGGTGTAACATACACCAGCAACATGTCTCCCATTATTCTCTCTTACCTGGGGCAAAGTTGTCCCAGTTCAGAGGTTTGTCTTTTGTCCACTACATTTTTTACATTGCTGTAATGCCAGTTACATCAATATAAACATTTTGTCTGTCCCAGCCCCAAATACACAAGTGGAAATGTGACCTTTGGGAAGTATATTCTGCACAGAAACATGCCCAGTAGCAATTTGCTTGTTTTTTTACTCCATTAACAAGAAATAAACTTGAGCAAGCTCAACACTAAGTGTATTGACAGGCCAGCATTGAGGGGGGAAACGTACAGTCTTGGAAAACCTGGTGAGAGGAGTGAACAAGCATTCCAATAACTGATTTAAGACCCTGATGGCTTTCAATTACTGATGAGTTTGAAATAAAACAATAAAACATGAACCAATCTAGCCCAATAAACCTTTCCACTAATATCCAAATGCAACAACAAGAATGACAAGAGTGAATTAATGACTGATGTTCTTAAAAACCAATAGATTTATTCACAAAGATAGATCAAAGTAAATGTAAAACTAAGACATTATGCATGATCATGTATCAAGACAGTTATTAATGGCAGTGTGTAATAAAAATATAACAAAATACTGAGAAGTGAGCAGACATGCAACATTCTAGGAAACAGTTATACACATTAAAAACAGTTATCTGTCAGCTATACTGCTACCATTTCTGCCCTTTGCTAGCCAAATGCTTGTGACACACAGAGGTAGGTGTAGCTATCCTGCACAAAAAAAGTGTCTGGAGACTTTCTCCGATAGCTTAATTGTTTGAGAGATCTTAGCACCAGTAAAATAGTACCTGAAAACAAACTCACCTGAGTAAAAAATGATCTGTTCATCTGTTCCTGTAAGGCTTGCTTCAATTGGTTCACATCCTTTTCCAATTTCAGATATTCATTCCAGGCATTTTCCATTTCCTAATGGCAAAGAGAAAGACTCGAATGCAAATCTCAAAATAACCCATAATGCTTGGAAGCACTTTGGCCTTTTATCTAGTAAAGCAGCTCACCATATTCTTAAACTTTTACATGTGTATGTTTACACTCAAGCAAAAAATATTATTCTGTTCTGAACTCAGTGGAACTTCATATGAACTTAAAGCTAATCATGAACTTTAAGCAGTGTACTGGATTAGAGCCAGAATGCTCTAGGCTGAGTCCACAATCTCCATCTAGAAAATTTAGAGCACAGGTATAAAAATCAAGTCCATGGCCCCTCCTACTACTCCCTCTTTCTGCCCACCTCTCCACCATGCTGGATACAGTGCACTCAGAATCCCCCTTTCTTCCCTCCCCCAATGCCACCCAGTCTGTGATGGTGCTGCAAGTCTCAGGCTGCATCTACACGAGCAGTAGACTGTGCAATTGTTTCTGCGCAGTCATTTAGTAACTGTATAACCAAGTACTAAATGACTGCAGTGTAACTGATGTTACTGCACAGCAACATCTTCAGATGTTTTTTTTCTGATGCTACTGCACAGTAGCTGGTTACTACTGTGTAGTAGTATCACATCATGGTTGGTGCCTCCTAATGATACTGCGCAGGAGCAGTGAGGTGTGGGGGAGGAGAAGGAAGGGCAAGGGAGAAGCCATGTGCTGACCAGAATGGGCACTGCATATAGTGTAGGTGTCAGAACATGCTTTTCATAGGGTGCCTGTTCAAGCCAGTCTAGAATTGGCACTATATAAGGTATCTACTCTTGCGCCTGTGGCATGGCAGAGTCCCAGACCAGGGGAGGGTGGGAGAGCAACACATGCAGAGTAGATCCTGGACCAGCTGGGGCAGGTGCTGCATCTGGCATGGCTCCCAGAGTGGATGCCATGTAACGCAGATCCTGGAGCACAAAGCCAGTTTGGTGGCATGAGGATCTGCTCAGACCCAGAGGCAGCATCAGAGGCCAGTCAACAGGGCAGTGCAGGCCAGTTCTTTGGACACCCCTGATTTAGAGCAATATGTCCAGATGGAATGATCCAGCAGTTATTAAGGAGAAAACTCATGACCAAAGGAATCCTAACAATGACACACATTCTTAAAGGCAGACAAGGTTCTTTGGGTAGATCTTTTATTAGACCAACTAAATAGTTGGAAAAGGCTACACATCTTAATTTTATGACCCCATCCCTTCATTTTAACTCTGTACCAAAAAGAGACTGGACGAATTCTTGGAGGTAAGGTGCATCAGTAACTTCTCAGCATGGGAGTTAGGGGTATTGCCTCGGACTCAGAACTTCCTAGACCTTAAATCCTGGAGGCCTCAAGTGAAAGAGGAACAGTGAAAAAAAACCCCTGGTCATACCCAGGTCACCCTCCCTTTTGGCATCCACTCTCTGCCACTGTGAGACATATAATACTAGGCAAGATGGACCTATGGTCTGACCCAGTGAAACGTTATTCTTATGTACCAACAGATATCTTGTTTAATGACAAACATTCACTAACATAGCACATAATGTGCAATGGGCCAGGCTGGAAGGGCTGCAGTTTAAGGCCGTTATTCAAAGCACAAAACTTCATTCTTTTATTTTTATCATGTCCTGTACATTAGGTTAAACTCCCTATGTGAAAACTAACTATTTTACTGTAGCTGGAACTTAATTTAATATTTCTTTGGAGGCACCATATACATACGGTTGATACTTTAGATATTTCAGCCCGAATATGAATGAGATCCTCTTGTAAAAGTCTCTGCTGGTAAGATATTTTTTCCGTGTGTTGTGGCTGGTCTTTATACTGCTCCATCTGTCTATGTAAGACCTCTAATACAGATTCCAACTGGTCCTAAAGAAAAAGTAAAACAGCAGTAAACTAGCAACATTTGTACAAGTTTTCACTGATTTACCAATGAGAATATAAAAAATTCTATCTACTTTAAGTCTTTCTTTATACCTTACTTTAAACAAGGATCAGAGATTTGCTTTTATGGGACCAAAAATAGAAACTAAACATTACAAACTTGGTAATATCTATGATAAACAAGGCTATGGCACTCTTTCTATTACAAAACCCTGTTTAAACATTCATACCTTTCCAAAACAATAGCCAAAAGGGATTAACGTTTTCAAGTATAGTCGCTGTGCAATGATTCCCATTTCTGGAGAGAAAAATCCCTGTCACCATTTCTTGATACGCTCTTTTCCAAATAAGATAGAAAGGGTGCTTGTAAATGTGATAGGGGTTTGGTTCTTAGGACTGAATTCTATGCCCCCTAAATTGAAATGGTGGGTTTTTAATTGAAACCTACCATTTCAATGTAGGAGTTTCCATCACCGTTATGGTGAAAGGCCCAATCCTTTTTTTTCTTCCTCAGCAGAGCCTCCCTGTAGCCAGGAGGCAAGCTACCAGCTGGCTGAGCAGTCCCTGAGCTGTGGAAGACCCTGGTCCTTCCCTCCAGTGGTAGCACTCTCCCAGGGCCACCACGGTGGGCTGCTAATGGGCTGGGTGCTGCCCCAGCTCAGAGGCAGCACCTAGCTTGACTGCCTCTGAGCTGGGGCAGCACCTGGCCTGCTAGTAGCCCACCTGGGCGGCCCTAGGGGGCACTACCATCGTAGAGGGAAGGACCAGGCCCTTCTGCAGCTCAGGGGCTATTTAGCCTACCGATGGCTCGCCACCTGGCCATGGGAGAAGCGGGCAGGCTCCACCAAAAAAAACGATCAGGCCTCTCGCTGCTTCTGTCTTCAGCAGGCACCTACTGAAGGAAGAAGTGATGAGGGGCCTGATCCTTTTTTCCTGTGGAGCCTGCCCGTCTCTCCCATGGCTGTAGGGCAAGCTGACTAATAGCTACAATGTATCATTTCAAACTAAACTACAACAGGATGTAGTTTAGTTTGCAATGATGCAAACTCATTTAAAACCCTCAAAACTCCTGTATGTGTACTGTGTGATGCCATTAAGCCACACAGTAACATTTTCATCACGTGTACAAACATCCAAAGTGTATAATTTATTATTCACTAGAATAGCTAAAGTAATCAAATAACTCATTACAACATTTTCTATGGAGCTTTAATTTAAAAAAAAATCTAGTTTTGGTCTATTTGCATATGAGCTCCATTGAAAACTGAAAGAGGGCAGCAGTTCCTATTCAGAAGAGACTTTTCTCAATTGTCTCTGACTTCTTCAATGCTTTGGTTTTTTGAGGGCTTTTTTGTTTGTTTTATTAAAATATGCTAAGATAAGGTTCAAAGCCAGTAACATAAAATTAGTTTTACATACAAACAAGTAAACTTAATATTTACATTTTGAATTCTGACTGGGAATGATATGGAGGCAGGAAAGGGCAGGAGAATGAAGATTCTAGCCAGAAAGCCAAAATAGTAAATGCAACCATGGAGATCTCGAAGCCCGGATCTTCATGTAGATTTGTGCCTTTCCTCCTTGTCCTCTCCTGCCCCACAATTTTTTGTCTAGCACAACATACAAGCTACAATGTATTTAAATATGTTTCTTGCTATTGTAAATTTTTAATCGTGCTGTGTGTGTTAATGCTGCTTGTCTGTCTGATAAGACTTCTGAGCCTCCTATCACAGTCATGTTAAAAACAAAAAACAAGACTATTATGAAAAAGCGCATTTTCTCCAAAGAGAATAATGAAAATCTGATGCAATCTGTTTTTCTGAAAAGCTGGAGTGACATCTCCAGAACACAAAAGCCTGGGCAGTGTATATGGAGACACTGGGTTGCCCACACACCAGTGTCCTTGCTGGTTTAGTCCAAAGGAAAGGCAGGTGCCAGCATATATGGAACTGGCTTAGCTGCAGTTGCTGCTGGAGCAAAGGAGATTATCTATTTGTCTTCTAACAGGACTCCACTCCTAGACTGGCTGCCAACCAGGGTTAAAGGTTGCATTACACTTAGACTGGTCTAGTAAACAGATCAATCTAAGCCCATAACCATACAGAAGTTTGGTATGCATAGATCAGTCTAAAAATGGTGCAAGCAACCTAAAATAGACATCATCCAAGGTGCGTTCAATTGAGATCGATTCAGTTTAGACCAATGTATCAAACTTCTGTACTAGCTCAAAGAGCCCCGTCTACCTTATCATGGAGTGTACCTCACTTCCATAACCTTTTGGTGGCATTTCCTCTGCCAGGGGTAAGGCTAGTAACCCCCTCTAAGGAGTTCTTCTGCCTGAAGTCATTGGCACTAGAGAGGGTCCTGGGTTATTTAACTGCTACCCAGCACTTTGCATTAACAGTACCAGCTAGCAGGTAGATCTGACTTGATCTGACCTTTACAGAAAGTCACAGCAAAATAAATGGGGATAGTTTTAAAATGCACACTGTTAGAACTTTTCAAACGCACATGCCAAATTATATTCAAAATGAAATATATCTATTCCATTCGCTAATAAAACAGGTGTTCATAATGTCCAAAAAGAATGATTAAGATACTTGCACAATATAATAATTTGGTTTCGGCTTACAGTCCAGAAGTCTGAGTAAGAAACTGGTAAAAAAATCACTACTGCTGCATTATATATAAAAACATTCAATTTAATTTACTTTATTTTCCTTAAGAGTTCTTATTTTGTCTTCCAAGTCCTGTAAAATTCTGTCCTGTTCACAGAAAACGCTTAGCTTGACCTATAACAGAAAACCAATATTTAGATTACACTGAAAATCAAGCAAATTTTCATTGAAAGACTTGAGATTTTATTTGGATAGCGAGAAGTTACAGTGTAATGGAAACAGAAATGCTAAAATAGCCATGATAAGATTTTGAAGTGATATTTCATACTTACATCAATATCACTTTCTGCAATCTTGACAGGTTTTGTACTTCGTTTTTTTAGTGTATCATACCCCGTCACCTAAGAACAGGTTTTAAAAATATGAGTGGCTGATGGCAAATTAAAACAGCTGTGTTTCAATAATACAGAGTTTTGTTGAATGTTCAAGGCCACCAACAGTAAAAATAAATATTAAAAGTTTTACCATTTAATAGAAGAGATTTTAGTTAAATTCTAAGTACTATAATTATATTAAACAGTAATATAATTTTCTTAACATGAACATAAAGGACTCCAGAATTATTGCAAAAAAGGTTTGTCATAAAAAAAATCTTTGCAAAGATCATAATGGTAAACTAATGTCTAATCCAAAAAAGATTATCAACTAGTTAAGAGGCTATTTAATTGTTTGGCAATAGTGTAAGATTTATAAGCAAAGATAACATAGATCCTATTTGTTGTTTCATACAACATAGTGCCCCTGTTGTGCAAAAGACAAAGTACACGTGTACTCTCTCTGAAGTTAATGGGACTGTTCATGTTCTTTAAACATAAGCCTAAGTGTCTGCAGAATAGAGGCCTAGCTAACTAAAAAATATGCCTTTTATACAAGATAAGACATTTAGTCTGGGGCAGGATTCAGGAGCCAGATTACAATGTGCTTTATTTTTGCTACTGCTTTTCTTTTCTAGTATACAGTTTTTTTAATTCTAATAATCGCTAGTTCCAATATTTAACTTCTGGAAAAGAAAGAAGATAATCCTTTAAAATCAACAACAATGATCAACTATACTCTCAACTTTTGTGGTAGACTGTTAGGACAGTAGCGTGACTAGGAATGGGTGTGAGCAGGGCACCAGCCCCAGGCACCAACTTAAAGAGGCCGCAAGATTTGTGTTTACCACCACAGCCGGCCTGGTTGCTACTATACTGCCCCAGACCCCAAAACTGCATGTTATAACTGAGTTAGGGTGGAGGCACAGTCATTTAGTCAACTCCCAGGCTGCACCTCACCTGTTCTATGGACAGGCAGAAGACTAAGGGTTCTAGGACTGGCAATCAATTTCTCTTCATGGTCCCTACATTCTTTTAGAAAATACAATTTAATGAAAGAACCTAATATTACTAGATTGTAGCTACTTGTAAAGCAAATAGTATCCAGTCAAAGAATTTCCTCATATTGACTTTTTGCTTCTTTCTTTCATACACACTTAATAAAGTTTAAAGAAAAGTTATGTCATTACTTATCCACTGGAATCAATTTTTTAAACTAAAACGTGACTGCTGGCATCTGTATCCCCATATATACTTTGTTTAATGACTTAACTGGGTTCTTAAGACATCACTCCATAGGTGTATTTTTCCTACAATAACAGTCATCACAGCAGATGAATCCTGGGAAGTTCCTCAGATTGTCATTTACTACTATTTTAGAAAAAGCTCTTTTTACATGGGACCTTCCATTACTATTCTAGTCTTAAAATATGAGAGATTGAGATATAATTCATGTCTATGCGTCTACCTCTCTGTTTTCAAAGACGCCATGCATATTTATCAAATTAATTCATTAAATGTTTATTTCCATCACCAAATATAGAAACTGGTTTAAATTTGTATACAATTTTCAACATCATCTGTCCAACAATACAATTTTTACTTTGGATTTTTTTTCTTTTTAAAAATGTTAATACAAGTAATTTAGCATTATTATTTGTAAATAGTAAGTCACATTTTAAGAGTATGGAATAATTTATTTAATCATAAATATAACCACTTCCAAGTACTAAATTTGTTCATTTAGTAATCTGCAAGCTGGTAGGATGGGAAAACCTATCAAAGCACCAAAATCAACAACAACAAAAAATACTGTACTTACTTGGCTATAATTTAGAATGAATTATGTAATCAAATGTAATAAGTTACCTTAACTTTAAAGCAGTGAAAATGAAAACATAATATTAAGTTCAGCATGCTTTCACATTTTCGTAATTACATAAAGGAGTGACTACTTAATACAACCATTCATTGTCAACACATGAGAGGATGAATCCAAGCATTGAGATCAGCCATAATTTTGCATACAGCCTCAAAAAAAAAAACCTTACAGGAAGCTCTGCTGTATATATCATGAGACACCTGTGGAAGCTAGGGTATGCAGACATTGACTGCTGTTTGGAAAAGCAATGGGATGATTACATTTCAAAGACAAGCAGTCTTACATTTATACTGGACAGTAAACCTTGTGCTGAGTTCTTTAGCACTTTGTAAACCATGTTGATCACAGGTCCATTATTTTTTATCTGTTTCAAACAAAAGTTTAGTCACCGCGTCTTATAAAAAATATGACATCCCCAAACCCCATGAACAATGACAATAGAAAGGTAACAGATGTTTGGTCTATCTGTAAAGCTGGTATTTTAAGGAGAAGGTAGGTACTACAGCAGACTTGTTATTGCTTATTACCCCTTCACTGAACAAGGAGTAGTAACATGTAGAGAACTTCTGTTACTTCCTGACTGTCAGGGAACATGGAGTCACAATCTTCAATCCCTGCATTTCTACCATATCACCAATTTAAATTTAAAATAACAAAACTCTAATATTTTAAGGGATAATTCAGTTCAAAATCTATAGCACATGCTACTTGGCAATGTCATAATATAAAAATCAGGAGTATTATCATAACAAATATAAGATTGGAGGAATGTAAATGAGTTTTTCAACTCTCTGTAATTTGAATTTTCCAGAATCACCTCTCATGCACAAAGAATATGATGCTGAATTAACTGCATCATCCAATATTTATATTTTAAATACCACAGCAATGCACCAAGGCATTGATTAATGCTGCAATATATAACTGCTTGATACTAACATCAGAAATAGCTTCCTGGATACAATATTTTAAAAATGTCATTAAACAAAGATAGACCAATGAAGAAAGGCGATAGCACAGTAGGACAAAAAGAAAAAAGATTTCTTTGGGGTCAAATTATTACTTAAATGATGCTGTCCTGCACTTAATACTTAAGTTATCCATTTTGATATTGTCCTATAAGAACCATGAAGAAAAATGGATTGCAGGTTTGGAGACTGGGAGCCAATGGAGTGAAATGAAGACTAAGACTGGACAAGGAACTGGAGCAAAGGAAGGTAAGACTGGGATCCATGATCTCATACTATTTCTCCACAGTATCCTGGCTTCATTCAGTGCACAGAAAGGACATGCTCGATGGATAAAGCAGGGCTGTGTAACAAAGGACACTGTTGTTCCCTACCCCTTCAGGACTTGACAGATATGAGGTGAACAAAGCAAGAAATGGCAGAAAGAAAAGCATGGTCTTGTGGTTTAGGTATGGGGTTGGCAACATATGGCCTGCGGACCATAGCTAGTCCATGGAGCCACTGGATCTGTTCTGAAGGCCTAGAAGGCTTTGCCAAACTTTTGTTTCAGTTGTTGACTGCTGCCATGGAGATGTGAAATCTAACCCGTCCTCCACCACAGTTTCCAAGTGATACAGGCGAAAGCATTTAAAAAGAACTCCTCCTAAATGGTCACAAATTACATATTATTTTCTGGATTCTTAGTTTGGGAGGCAGATCTGAATAAATGCTATGCACTCTCCACTTGAACTGAGTCCCAGGGACAGCTGTGCTCTGAACGCATCAAGTACTGTATAATATGTGCTTTAAAAGAAATCAGGTACTACCTATCTCAAACTGGGGACTTCAATTAGGATATACTTTTCACCTTTGTTTCTATACCTTCATCTCCCATGTGCAAGGTAACACCAACAACATCATTTCACAGGGTGACTATCTATTTTCCAACTTCCATGTCTATCACTTAACAAACCAAATTATTTTACATGAGTGCAGTGAAGGGTGCAACACATTACTACTCCTTGGGACTTAAAGCCATTGTACTAGATGTGAGCATCCTGTGAGCTAGGATGACCATACATCCCAGGTTGGTTGGGACAGTCCCAGATTTCACAGGCTGTCCTGGCCAGTTGGTGAAAATTGAAACAGAAGTCCCAGAGTCAGCCATCTAACATGAACCCTTCTTTCTCTATTAACTGTACTGTGCATGAGCGTGGCACAGCAGAACCAGCCTTAGGGAAAATGGTGCCCTAGATGAACTAGTACTTTGCACCCCTACACTTCCTAGCAATCCCATTGGTGCCCCTTCCCTAAGTCAGCAGCACTACTGCAGACAGAGGCAGGCAGCCAGGGCATGGGATGCAGTCCGGCAAGAAGGCAGAGTGCCATGGTGCACCAGGCAGGTGGCTGGGAAGGCACTGCTGCAGCTGTGCAGGAGCAAAGCAGGTAGACTGGAACAGGTGCCACCCTGCCACACTTGCCCAGCCTGGTTCCATCAGGAGAGCAGCGGCTGGAGGCAAGGGATGGTCTGGGAACTGCTCCAGTTTGCCTGCCTTGCTCCCACACAGCAGCAGTGCCTGGTGCACCATGCCACTCCACCTTCACTTGAAACACGGTGTCTCGGATTTCCTTAAAAATAATATGGTCACCATCCTGTGAGCAAATTAAGAATGAAGGACAAAGAGTGGGAGGTAATTCCTGCCATTAGGGCATCCAAGGAGGCCTTACTAGAGGTTTTGGGATGGGGGAAGATACAGGGTGGCTGTGGGGGAGAAGGTGGGGAAGAAGAGGCTGCGGGGGTGGGGGAAAGCAGAGGCTGTGGAGGGGTGAGGAGACAGGAAGCAGGGGCTAAGGTATAGTGAGGCTAGAAGCAGGGCTCAAGTCCCCTGCCTGTCCCCCACTACCCACCTGCGCCCCACCGCTACTTTCCTCGCTGCAGCAGTTGGGGGATGGAATTTAAAACAACCCTCTAATAATTAGATCTATGTGTGGAAAATTATAACAGATTTAGAAAGTTTCTATGTATAGAATCTAATTATTAGGGGGGTCATTTTGGATTTTGGTAAATACAATATTTCACAGATATTAATCTTCACAACATTCCTGTGAACGTAGCTAGTGCTCTTTATCCCTTCTTACACAAATGGGAAATCCAGATACAGACAGTTTAAAGACTAATCGGTAAAAAGTATCAACCAAGTTTAAGCTGCCCAACCTGAAATGCCTACAACTCTATTCTTCAGAAAATTTAGTGGTTTCAGTTATTTATGTTTCAAACATGGCTCCCCCTGACTTGCAAGTATTCGGCATTTCTGCAAAGCTGGCCTCACCTACTCAAATTGGATATTAGGAAATTAGGATCACATGATTCGTGACAAAGAGAGGAAGCTTTGGTTTAAGCGATTTATTCAATATCACATAGGAACTCTGGTGGAGATGGGGACAGAATCCAGTGCTCCAGGGCAGCATTCCAATAAGATCATCCTTTCTCTTTCTGCAATACCCTCCTCATTCATACTTCTGAACTTCTGCAAAAAATATATCAGGGTTCCTTCCTTCTTTATACAGCCAGACTCTTTCACAGAGCCGGTCTATTCTATGAGAAAGGGGTCGCATGGAAAAAAAAATTGTGTGCGATTGTGTAATTAAAGACTATGCCATAATACATATTTACTGAATTAAGGCTGCAGGGTTACTTTAAATTTGACAAGAGACTTGAACACTGCAACCTCAAAGTTATTTTATCATAGAAAATTTACACATCAAAACCTTAAACAAAGCCAGACTAAATCCTACTGCTGAGTCCCCCTTCCCTCCCCCACTTGGTTCATCTAGAAATGTATTGTTTGTCTTTTCAACTAATACATCACCTGGGTACAGATTCTTAGATTGATAGCACAGACCTCTATCATTTGAGATAATGAAGTAAATGATAGCAGGAGTAGGTGATACTCCTAAATGTAGACCAGTCATTAGCAGGGGGATGAGACATGGCTTGTCAGTAGATTTCTGTTGGCAGTAAGGGAATGTAGAGATTTGAGGTTTCCTGAGCTCAATTCAAAGTTCTGGAGGGGAGTGTATTTTATCAGTTACAGAATATTCTGTTGCTACATCCCAACCAGGTCCCAGTTCCCCGTTTTTATTCTGTTCTTCTTCTACCTGAGCCTGGCTCTGTCATAACTCTCCACTCTGCAATAATATTGTTACAAGATTTTTTTTTATTGGGGAAAATGATGCATTTTTTCCATAGTGTCTTGCTGAAAAATAGCTGAACCCTTTAACCTAATGAACTTTAAAAAATACCTGCTTGAATGGTTGGTTTGGAAAGTTATAAACAACTAAAGAAGTTTTAAAATGGGGATCACTGACCAATCTTAACTACAGGTAGTGCTACAAGCTTCACCTCACATAACATGATGGGAGAGTATTCATCAGCAGTTTACACTGAGCTTCTCATACTGGCTGCCCACATGCAGCTTCCACTGACACCCAAGAAACCATCTACACACAAACAATGGGGGTAATTAGGCTTCAGATTTTATTCTATTTTCAGACTTATTTATAGTTTATATACAGTGGGCATGTCTACACATTCATTAATGTGCAATAGTTACTGCACATTTAGTTTAGTACTTGCTTAATGAAGTACTAACTAAATGTGCAGTAACTACAGTTACGGTGCAGTAGCATGTTAGTATGGTTTTTGCCCTGCATCCTACTGCTCAGTGTTATTCGGTTCCTGCACATGAAGTATCTTGTGTAGACACGCTCAGTGAGAAGTACTTCATGTCAAAGAGCCTCTAAGCTGCTGTGCTGAACAGAATGGTTACAGATGTCTTTTGAAATGGATTTGCTAAAACCTGGCTTTCAGATATCTAATTGTGTTTTCAATTACCTGCGCTGCAAGGTGGATGTCTATTTTATTTTAGACACAGATTTTAATAGCTAGGGTTATAATGTTTCAGTGAACATCTGGAATATATGTAACATAATATCGGCAATTTGACATAAACAAAAATTTGAGATCTCTCTTGGGGAAGATACGTCAATTAATTCAACTCACCACTGGATGCCACTATTGCTTGACACAAATGTTAGTGCAGTATTTCACCGGCAATGAAAAACTTGATTTTAAGAGAAGGAAGGACCTATAAAATATTTTTTTATAGGCTGAACCTGGAAATGTTGACCAAATAAAATACTAGGTATGAGGATACGCCACAAAAATGGATACTCAAGAATTAAAATGAGCCTTCCACAGCGTAAAACATTTTTAACAGAAATGAAAAAAAAAAATTCTTACATTGTTAAGGATGTGAATGCAAACTCTAAGCAGCATGAGTAAGATCTGGACCTATTTTTCAGATTCACACTGTTCTTCACTGTACTAGTGTAGGACATTTCTGACCAACAAACTGTTCAGTCATGTCATGAAATGGTTAGGAAAGCATCTCTTTACTTTTAAATGAACCATCAAGAATAATCTAGGGAAGCAGCCAACAGGTTCTGCTTGGAGCTCTGTCTAATCTTTGGTAGTGAGTTACTTATTTATTTGATTTATATGCCACCCTATCTAAAAAAGGTTCATGGATGCTTACAATAAAGCTCACAAGGTATTTATACTTCATTCATTATGGCAGAAAAGCAGATAAGTGGTTGGCATTCTGCTACATTTCATGGGATGAATAGCTTGAAGAAGACAACTATAGTTTTGGATCTACCAAAATGCAAGTAAAGCACCACCACATTAATAATATGTATGCAACAGAAGGTTTCCAAATATTCAACACACAACCCCCTAAAAATAAAACCATGATAAATGTGTTTAGAATGTCAATATTATAGCAAAAGGTACCTGTTTTCTGATAATAATAAAGGGAAAAACAGGTTAAATACATTTTGTCTTTTAACTCCAAAGACTCAGCTTTAAACTTATTACTACCATAATGCTATAATAGGGAAATATTTTCAATTCATTTTGCTGTTTTTTTAAACCTTCAAAATAGAATTTGTTACTTGGCTCTGTTTTCAAGTTAAACTACAAAGAAATTTAATGCAATAAGCAAATTTTCTAATTGTACAATTTCATTTTATAATCAGTTCTCTCAAAATGCTTTCAATTCCAGCAATATTCAAAGTATATCAAAGGAGAATTCAACATTCTAGATTCTCAGTAGGAAAGGGTTGTGAATGTGGCAGCTAGAAAGAACACAAGCAGAAGACTGATGGTATGAAAAATACCAGAAATATTATTCCTATAAATATGCCCTACCTTTAGATCCAGATATTCCAAATCTTTCTTCAGCTGGAGGTAGGTATCATCAGCCTTCATTTAAGCATACAGGGGAAAAAAAACAAAAACAAAAAAAACAATGCTATGTATTCTAATCCTTACTTCTCAAATACTGGAAACTTTGCATTAAGTGAATATATAAGTGAGAAAGAAAAGTAGCAAGTAGGAGAGACAGAATAAGCACATCTGCCTCACCAGCACTTTGCTGCTTATAGTTACATATAAAATGACAAAGTGTGTTCACAGAGAGCTTTACTACCTCTTATCCTCTCTCCAAACAGAGAAATCTGACATTTCCCACCCCTCCTTATATAATATGCAGAGCTAAAAAAACCCCACAGGTATGGCTTAAATGATTTTCTTAGGCATGACACAAAGTATTTAGCCAATACTGTATTTACTCACATTCCACCTGTACCTTTCCCTCAAAATCAGCCCTTCAAAATTAGGGTGCATATCTTAAGCAGAGAAAATGATTTTCTGAGCTGTAATGGAGGAATGGAAGCACAGATGGTAGCTGTAACGCCTGCTCTACTTCTCTCCCTGCTGGCCCCAGAGGCAAGGACAGAAGTTACACAAAATGCAGTTTAAGTGATCAAAAACTGGTTTAAACCTGTAACAGAACAGAAGTTCAGTGCATTTAAACCACTTTCAAAATGGCCAAGACCAGTTTAAGATAAACCTGGCTGGATGTAGTATCAGGCTTAACTCACAGAATGATAGAAAAATAGGGCTGGAAGGCACCTCTGGGGGTTATCTAGTCCAACACCTTTCTCAAACCAGGACCATCCTCAACTACATGATTCCAGCCAGCACTTTGTCAAGCCGGGACTTAAAAACCTCCAAGGATGGAGATTCCAGCACTACTCTAAGCAACCTGTTCCAGTGCTTCAGCACCCTCCTAGTGAGAAAGTTTTTCCTAAATATAACACTCACACACTTAGGTTGCCAAGTGTGTACTTTTGGTTGGGGGTGTGTGTGTGTGTGTGTTTATGAGGGCAAGATGGCCCCTGTTGTTCTGGCCAAGTGCTCTGCACATGGAAATTTGAGGTCTTGCATTTGTGCAAAGTATGTAAAATCCTCTGGCCTGATTGGCCAGGGGGAGCAAAGACTTTTCAGACAGACTGGTTAAGAGAGACTGGAGTGTGGCACTCCCCGACTGGACAGGGCCAGGGGGATGTTATCTGGGGGGATACAAGGTGAGTGAGGCTGGTTTGGGGAGGTGGAGAAGTTACTAGCGGCTGCTGAAGAGTAAAGTCTCCTCCTAGGGAGAAGGAATTTGTAGATAGCAAAAGAGGAAACTCGGGGGGGGGGGGGGGGGGGGGGGAA